TTAGAAAGCAATGGCTGGGCTTCGTCAGGCAAAGCTGTCTATGGGAGAGTTCAATACAACAGTTCCCCAGGAACCAATTAAGGTAGCTAGTAGAATTTTATACAGGTAGCTGAAAGCTAAGGTTTCATCTGCACATATTAGGATGCTGCCTTACAGATCTGTATCCACCAAGAGACAGAGACAACAGAGCGCATACTACTTAATTGCAATCGCAAGAAGGAGTCAGGCTATCGGAAAAATTAAACCGGCGAGAGGAAATATCGCAACCACTAACTCAGGAACTTTACTAAACCTCTTTGTGTTGTGATAACAGGGGGGGTTGGGGGTACAGGCAAAATAAACCATAGGTCACAGTGCATTTCTCAACTTTCAATGTTATATAATCTAGGCTGAGCGGCTCTTATGAAAATTTTATACAGAATGTAGTTTAATAATATTACCTTTGTAGGATATTTCAGAAGTGCATTGTCTGAATGAAAAGCTGGATTTGTCCCATGTTCGGTTTGTATGATGCTACATTCAACTCCCTCGAATTCGCTTCAAATTCACAGCTATAGGGAATTTATCAAATAATAATTTTTTGTGAGACAATTAGGAATAACTTTTCAGTTCGAGTTAAGATTATTTCCGATAAAAAAATTACAAAAATATATTCCACAATACCAGCATTAAAACAAAAAATAGCGCACTAATCATGTAAAAAAAACCTTTCGAGTTACAATCGCTTTCCACAAATCAATTATAATTATAACATCAACTTTAATTATCTCAATTACATATATTTCATAGCATTTTAATAATCTCCTGTCAGTTTCTCCAACTCAAATCAATTCAAGTAAAATTATTTATGGCAAGATGTTGCCAATTTCTAGGACATCCTGAAGAATATTACAAATGGCAGTGTCTCCATCAAAATAGTGCTACACAAGCTTTACAAAAAAGAAAAACTGGAGCAATTTAGTTTCATTTTACTATTTCTGCGCTATTCCTTTCACTGCCTGCCGACACTCACGCATACACAAACAGCCACAGGAACGTACACGTTATAAATATCTCAATCGTCATTCATCTTGGCCGGCTTAGCTTGACTGCTTCTTTGCATATTTTAGAATGACGCGAGCGCTGGCTTATTTTAGCGCAAGCCACTCCTCAGCTGTCATAACTACACACACACACACACACAGACACTAAAATACAAGCATTTACACATGTACACCAAATGCACCCCTTTGTTGAATTATATGCTGTGAAATGTAAGCCAAATGAATTGTACGTCAACTACAGAGTGCGCCAACAGCCGACAGCCCACAGCTGCAGCGGTAGCAGCAACACTTTACCCAGTTTCCTAGAATTGGAGTAGCTTGGCTGTTTTTGCATAAATGACTTACTTGCATACTCTTAATACTTTTATATACCATTTTTTTCTTATTTACTAATAGACTGTAAAATTAAATGCAAGAGAGAGAGAGAGAGAAAAGAGGTTGCAGATATTTTAAATACACATTATATGTAGGTATGTATTGATCTATAAAGTTGAGAAAGAGCTACATTTAACTTTAGTAGCAGCCGAATGATATATTTTTGATGTAATTATTGATTTTAGAACAGCAGAAAAGTTGGCAAATCAAGTTATACATACGTTATGACACCAATATTGTTATTGTTGTAACGTGGTTTTTAAGGAAGGTTAATATTTTAGACCCAGCGAGGATATTAATATGTATGGTGTCTTTTTCATATTTGGAGTGTCCAAAAATTCCGTAGATCGATGGGATCCTCATTTCATAAAGACTGATGAAAATATGAGCCGAGCCTCAAATTTCTTAATTAGTTTTTCACTCAAAACCGTTCAAAATCTCTCATCATATTAATATATACAAACCCGGAATATAAACATTTGAATTATTTCTGGAGTTATCTAGAAAAACTCTGCAAGTATTTCAGAGTATACCAGAGGTTAATATTTCGGATTGTTATAAGTTTACAATACTAAAAGGTTTTACCTTAACGCTATGGAGTCAAAATTGCTTAAGCAACTACAGAGTTAACCAGAAAAAATCCAAACTGAATCATAACATTGACATTCAAAAATGTATTGCAAAAATAAAAAACTCAACAGAAACAGTTGAGGTAGAAGATAAATTCATAGACCCGGTCTGTGTATTTAGCTATAACATGGATTATGATTACTTCCAAACTCATACAATATTATAAAGCAATCAATTCGAGTGAGAAAAAGTGAGAAATCGTTCGTGATCCACACCAAACTATAAGACAATTCATGATATAAAACTACAGAGTTTTAGGAATAAACAAACCATAGGAATAAACAATAGATGAGCCGTTAGGATTATCTTATGTTACTGTTAAGGTACTCAACAAGCTCTGCAGAAATTCTAATAATTAGGGCCTTCACAACTTAAAACTAAACTGACATTTCCATTATCATTTTCTATCACATATTTGTGTTTTTAAACTCTGAACAGGGTATACTAAGTTTGTAAGAAGTTTTTAGCACCCAAAAGAAGTCGATGACCCTATAAAGTATATATATAAATGATCAGCGTGAAGAGCTGATTCGATTTATGTCCGTCCATCTGTCTGTCTGTTTGTCCCTCAGTTTTTGAGATATCGACCTGAAATTCTTCACATGCCCTCTTCCCCACAAGAAGCTGCTAATTTTTCGGAGCCGCCGATAACATACTACTATAACATGTAGCTGCAGTACAAACTGATCGATAAAATTCTAGTTCTTGTATGGAAATACTTTTTATTTGACAAAATTTCTTTACGAAATTTGACATGAATTATTGTCGAAGGCAGCGCTACAAGCATCGAATAAATTTTTCAAATTACATTAGCATATAGCTGCTATACATACTGACCGTGCAAAAATAACAATAATATTCCTTTATATCTTTTTATGCTATAAGAATTGCAGCTGTGAAAAGTATAATCGGTTCGGTGCGGCCATTTTTGTTTTTGTCTTTTTATGCAACTAAAGTAAGATTGAAACTTTTGTCGTCATTAAACGCTACCGATTTTCCAAAATATTTTTCTTATTATAACACTTCCAATTTTACTCGTATTTTCTGATAGATGCACTATGATGATGTTTTATTGCAACTTTTAAGATCAGAAAAAGTTTTTCTCAAAGTTGGATGACCCTCAGATTTTTACAGGAGTTCGTAAAGCATATCAGTAAATTACATGAATGCTTAACTAACGTAGAAACTCCAACAAGAGCCAAACTCGCTTTTGCGGCACAGAGTCAGGGTAATATACCCCATTTAACATAATGCACAACCTTCAAAGGGTCTAGCGATCAAAGAATGTTAATTGAAAACATATTTGCTAATCAATGCAGCTCTCACTTTCACTCAGGCATAAAGCATTAAAAGCAGCATGCAATCAAACATGATATCCCTCAAAACAACAACAGCAACATTGGCATGCCAATTTCACTAACTTGCAACTTACAAATGCCCATTTACTTGTCTTCGCATTTTATTACCCAATATTTGTTGCCACTTTGGCGTTGCAGCAAATTTTATTTGCTACATTCACTTTCGACAAAACTCTCACTGTTTTTTACAATGGCATTTCTAAAGCAAAAAACGATCGTTGCATGCAACATAAATCGCAGTCATTGAAGGAAATCCCACAAATGATTTGCACAAACCGACAAACGGTGATCCGCCACTGATTGAGTTGGTCTTTTGTGTTGGCCATCTTATGGACCATCATTACACACGTGCCGGAATTATTGCTGTTGCCAACAAATATTTACTACACATAAATGCAGATTCCCGATGTTGCAAGTATAGTACTCGGCAGTCAACCGGATGAAGATAGTTGGGGATAGTCAAAAAATAAACACTGATGGAAGCGTCATTAACATAAATGCCACATCAGAGATATTGCAACAACATTAATCTGTGGCGTCATGCAACATTGATTTGTGACAGCTTGATGGCGCCGCCAGATATTGAACTGCAATCGAGTTATTGTTGGGGAAATGGTAAATGTACGAAGGACAGATGTGTAACGGAGATACTAAATTGGTTAGTGCCCTCACTTGTGTGCATACATATACGAACATTATATGATCGTACCTGACATACGACGAGCAGTCGTAAAATTTGCAAGCATCCACCATATGCAACTATATAGTGCAAACCCAGCAGGAAAATTAAGCATTATTATGGAGCAAAAACTTGGTGTATAAAACTATATTCAAAGAGCTTATTAATACTAAGAAATTGAAGGTCAAATACTTTCCCCCACTCCTTTTTCTATATATCATATACCAAGAAAATTTTGTAGTCTGAGAGCAATAGAGACGTAACACAGAATTTTAGTGAAGCCTTCAACCAAAAGTACCAATAGGACAGCGTCCAGTTAGAACTCTTGCGTTTGCGGCAAGATAAGCTTTGCAAAGGGCAAGCAGTTCAGTAGATCTCCTGCGTTCCAGAAGGATCTCACAGTCGCACAGGAGCTGGTCGTCAACAAACACCTGATTACGCATGATAACAACGGAACTCCAACTTGTTCTCACTTCGATGAAAGAGTGAGTTGTAGAGAATTTGTGACATGATCGCCAGATATGAGGAATGCAGTACCAAGGTCTGGAAGAATTCAGTGCGATACCAGTTGGTAATATCAGAAGAGGGAGGAAGGAGGAGGCATCGATGACGGCACTAATAATGTAGTATATAAAAAAAGCTTGATGCTCGACGTTTAATCCCCAGACATGAATCTTATGCTACCTGAGTTTCTATTTTGAAACGAGCTTCACTAAAGCTTTAACTTAGCTTTATGCTTCCGGAGATGACTAGTTCCTTACAATTTAGTAGTTATATCACTTTTTTTGTAACTAACCGATTCCTACAGGTATATGATAAACACCTATACAAACATATTTATGGTACACGAACAAGTGTATGTATGTATATCTAATACAACAACATATAAACTCAAGTATCGATTGGTGGACTCACCTTAAAATAAAAATTTGCAAATTGCACAAATACTGCTGTGTTTCGTCTTTTTTCGTTTCGCTCCTGCAACGCTGCTTCCAGCTTTTTCGTGCGTCAGTGATGACAGTGGAGAAGTGTGAATGACGCTTGGTTAGTTGGTTGAGTTTGTTGTTGCGGCAGCTAAATTTAGTTGCTTTTTGCGAGCAGCAACAAGTTGTTTGTTCCGTTTATTGGTTAGTCTTTTGTTATTATAGTTGTTTTTGTTTGTTGTTGTTTTTGTTATTGTTTTTGTTGTCTTACGTAGTTGTGACGCTATAGCGAAGTCTTTAATTATTTTGTGTCTTTTGTTGTTGTTGCTTGCTGTTTGTCATTTTTGTTTTCATTTATTATACCGCCTCCATTTACGGCCACAACGATGTGGTGGTGGTTGGAATGACTTTTTGCATTTGCATTTGCACTTTATGTTTGGTCTGTGGCTTTCGTTGCTGCTCGTCTCGTTCGTCTCCTCACCTTTTACTGCTTCATCTATTGTTGTTAGTTATTTTGTTATTCGTTGTTGTTGTTGCGTTTGTTGTTTATTATTATATTGTCGCTGTTGCTGTTGTTGCCACTTAATTTGTTGCAACATATTTGTTGCCACCACTATTCAGCGTTCAGTGCTGCTGTTGGCACTTCCTTTTGTTCTTCCGCCTTCTATGCGTTCGCCGTCCAGCTGCAGCTGTGCATTCATGCAGCAACACAACGCTACTGCACCGCCAACATTTTTTCGTTCCGCCGACTACCCACAAATGAATGAATTCGGCGCTGCTGGCGGCTGGACTTTTGTTTGTTTACAAAATAAATTTAGTTTTCGTATGCAAAAAAAAGCATGTATTTGTATTTTTGCAATCGCTGCTTTCGCTTGTGTTCGTTTGATTTACAAAATACTCGTCTCTGCAAAGAAAAGGAGAAAAAGTTTATTTTAGCGCTATTTATGCCATTCATCAAGTGATATCCAATATAATGGATATACTTTTTTTTAGGTTTTTGAAAATTAACTAATGTTGGAAACCTTTTTGTTTTGTACCAAGTACCCCTCAACAGTCGATTTACATATCTGCGATTTTTCGGCAACTCAAAACATTGGACTATAATAGATTTCCATTTGAGCACGTTTCCTATTTTGCAAAGAAGGTGTCGAGTGCCTACGACTAGCCGCGAAAGCTCAAAAAAGATAAAATCTCAAAGAAAACAATCTTCGAAAATATTATTCGCAGTCAGTAGTACAGGTAATGCTGAACCTTCATGCAAATATCTTATATTTCTAAAGTTTGTTAAAAGATCCAACAATTTAATGCTCAATGGTGTAATCTACTTTAAGATTGTAGCTACTTCGCGTGAGAATTTCCGATTGGAAAATTGGACGCTGTTTCGATATTGACTCAAAATAAGGTGAAAAAATAAATATTTTAAAGTAAAAAAAATTACAGCATGTTTGGGACATAAAAAGGTTAGTTTTATCGAAATATCGGTTATTTTAATGAAAAAAAACTTGGTTATTTAAATTTTTCACATAAATTTTGAGGTTATGTGAAAAAGGTATTGATATTAAAGTTGTAGATATTTTCACTACCTATAAAATATAACATAACTTCGTAGTTTTGTTGAAAGTCGACATAAACTCTTAAAATTCAACCGCTCCGCTAAATAGGCTTATTGTAAACATCATTTTGATTACAGTATGTAAGTTCCTAACAAAGTAATAATATAGGCACCATCCATGTTTTTCTCTCACTGTGTGTAAAACATTTTTCGGTCAAGTTTAAGTGACAGATGTTTTATAGTTTCAAAGTCGGACCAATATTTTTTAAACATATCTATTTTTTTTCGAAGATTCGACTGTGGTCTATTACAGATTTGTCCCACATTTTTACTTATTATTAATGCAATATTTCAATAAGCTCAATTTCGAACTACAAATGAAAATATTTTGACTTTAGAGACTAACTTCGAAAAATGCAGAAACTACTTGTTTACTTAATAATCAATCTCTCGAAAAAAATGGTTGGTCCCAAAACGCAGCCGTTTGTTGTACAGTGTAATTTTAGAATTACTGTGGTTAATCTTTAAATATTGTGAAAATTACGAGGTTTTTAAAATTCGTCATTAGTACTTCTTTCAATAATTAATGTATTTTGTACTACTTTGATTAGTTATTCACAATTATATATGAATTACCTCCAGATACTTTCAGAAACTTTCCCACAAATTAAATCAGAATATAGGTACAAACATATATATGCACATACATATTGCTAACTATTATTTGAAATTGCGCTTAATAGATTTTTACATTTAATAGCATTTACAGTTCAATAGCCAGCGCTTTAAGCAGAGAGAGCGAGTTCATTAACGAAAAACTCGGTAATTCGTTTTGGTTGTGAGAAATGGTCAGGAAGGAAAGTGAAAAATGCTAAATGAAATACCAGTAGATGAAAGTGAAGTTCATAAAAAACTAAATTTGAATTAAAAATTTACTACCACATTTGAATTTAGTATGCGAATGGCGGCCGGAAGTAATTATACTTTCTTTTTATTGTAACTTGTACAGGTGAATATGGTGAATATTGAAATGAAATTAACGTTATTTATTATACCCTGAATATATATAACATACATACGTACATACACGTATACATGCTTTACAACTTAATATGATGTTTATTCATGGAGTTATAAAATTCAAAAAAATAAAATTAAAATAAAAAATTGGTCATAAAATAGTATAAAATAATAGTTTGAGCATTTAATTTCCTATAAACTCTACAAAACGAAATAGTTTTCTACCTGATAATAACATAACAGAACAAAATATAAAACCGTTAGTTGGAAGACCTTCCCGTTACAATTAAGAGTTCATACTTGGAGAGCCTTTCTTGGAGGTGTCTATCAAACAATTTTTAAGAAAACAAACGAATTAGTCCCTCAGTTTTTGAGATAGTGGTCTGAAGTTTTGCACACATTGTATTCTTGCCAAGAAGCAGCACATTTGTCGGAACCGCTGATATCGAATCCCTATAGCAGATAGCTACTCTGCAAACTGATCGATCCAAATCAATTCTTATGAGGAAAACTTTTTTATTTGATAAAATATCTTTAAATTTGGCTGGAATTATTGTCCAAGGCAATGCTACTAACTCCGAACAAATTGCTTAGATCGGACTACTATAGCATGCCAAACAAACTGATCGTTCCATAGCATTTTATGCTATTAGAAATACACTTGTGAAGGGAATTATAGCTTCGGTGTAGCCGAAGTTAAAGTTTTTAATTTTTTGTTTTTGTAACTGATGCGCCCAATGAAGATGAGAGGAAAATAATAAATTAAGAAAATATATGTAAGCAATTGAAATGACACACGAATATCGCATGCGGCCATCCGGTAATTTTCAAGTGAGCAACTTGATTTTCTGAGTAAAATATTATTTCATTTATTTTTATTTTTGACCGCACAAAGCGATGAAACTTAAATAATCTGACAGCATAAAAATGCTAATTACAAGTATAAATAAGCAAGCAAACGCTGCGAGGCGCTTATATAGTTAAATAAATATACAAATGTACGTATGTATGTAGATATGTATATGGCGTTGCATGTACGAGATGACAATCAGACCAGCAATATAACCTTCAAGAAAACGAAATGCAACCGAAGAAAACAACTGCAAGACTATCAACAAGCAACACAATAGTTCGAGGTGCATATAATACATATGTATGTATGTATGTGAGTGTATTTGCACACAAGCATATAAATAACAATGAGATTTATTTAATTTTAATCTACAATTTGTGCTCGTTTCTATTACACAATAGTAGCTGTTGTGTTGTATGGTGTAAGTGGCTGCAACGAGGTTGTTGCACGCACATAACAAGCAATCTGCGGTTGCAGCAACACACAAATACACATGCAAACAGTTTATTTTATACTCGAAATTTTCTTATTGTTGTTCAAATGCATAGAATCAGGTAAAATAGTAACGCTGGCGAGTAACAAGTGTGACGAGTGTGAACATCAGCGCTGACTTGAAGTTTTTATGCTGCCGCATATGCTTCGCAAATTTTTTGCAGTTGCAAATACATGCATATGTGCATACATACATATGTACAATGCAAAATAAATAAGCACCAAATAATGCTTAAATGCCAGCAAATTAAATATAAAATTATAATTGAATTAATTAGCAAACAATAGCAACAAAAGCAACTACAATGCAATGTTCATACCAACGTAGATATATACTCGTATATAAGTTTATGTTTGCACCATGCAATACATAACGGATGACACCGAATTTGGTAAAGCCGATCAAAAGCCTCCACTTGCAGCTAACGCTTACACTCACACATAAACTTATGTTTACAAAAATATGCATAAAGATAGTGTTAATAAAAAATTATCCGAAGTTATGGTTATTATACATTGTACATACTTACAATCAGCAAATACGGGGAAATTCCCATAATATAAACTCGCTACCTTATATCAGGTTTTAATGACTTTAGGCACATATACATATCTACAAATACATACACACAAAACCTCGTTCAGATTTTGCCTGAAACATATTTGAGATGCAAGGCTTCTGTAGTGTATACCAACAAAACAAGCTCTGGACCGGACTGGTTCTTTTAAACATTGCGTGAAAACCGAATCGATACAATTTTTTCGGCTAAACCAGAAAAATGCAGTTATATGAGGAACCCCAAGTCAAAAGCATAGAGCACGAAAATGTGAAATACTTTTGTTACTTGGATCTGCAAACGGAGGATCAAAGTCAGATATCATCAACAAAAGTACAAAGAAGCCCAAGCAAGCTTTTGGCGTCCTTAAAGAGTTCTGGAGCTATCGATTAATACGCGGCGTACCAAAAAAAAAAAAAAATTCAACTTCAATGTTAAATCCACACTTCTATGCGACTGCGGAATATGGAATCTCATAGCCTCTGACTTCCAAAAGCTGCAATATTTCACAAACCGATGGCTTCGCAATATTTGCTGCATTTTCAGGCATTCCATCGTCTCTAACACGGACTTATTGTAACGCATAAACCAAATGTCACTATGTGCCGAATTCTTAAAAAAAATGGAGCTAGCTCGGGTATGCTTTGAGAAGTGATCTAGATCCAATCACTTGGAACGCTATCGCCTATAATCCACAATACAGCCGCCGGAAAGGCCCACCCAGTCTTACCTGGAGGAGAAAAAAATTTGGAAATATCTAAGGTCCAAAGAAGTTGGAATCAAGTCAAGAGACTAGCACAAGATCGAAATAAATGGAAAAGTCTCAATGTGGCCATTTGCTCCTCCGCGGAGCCATTGGATACAATATATATGTATGTATTTTATGGAATTACTGCTACGGAATTATTGTTTATGTTTCAGAAGTGTTTTGGGGAGTCTACTTTATGACGAACACAAGTGCACAAAGCACTCAGTGAAGGTCGTAAGTCATGCGAGCCGTCCATGCGCCTCTATTACCGACGATAACATGGTGGTGGGAAATTGGACCGACAGGATGTCCTCAGAAGACCCTATAACCGAAACAGTGGTCAAATACAAAGTGACATAAAATAAATAATCCTAATAGATAGAATTAATAAAAAAAGAATCTATACACCTACAGATACACCTCAAAGTAGTCAAGGCTATTTTAGAGCTAGATTACAACGACCTATTTCATGTCATGTGACCCTGCTTATCGCATGAAAGTTTCGAACGAAATGTGTCAAGGCTGGATATATATGTAGTTATATGCAACACAATATTTTTTTATTGTTTTTGTGCTTGACCCAACGCGATAATGCAACATTGTGTATATGTACGTGCATACATACATATAATATAATTAAAAGCAAACAGCACATAAAGGTGAGGTGGTAAACGAAAAATTG